CGCGCTCCTACCCTTCTCTTTTTCTTTTATGGGCTCCTGACTCAACTAATGGACTGAAGAATGCTCGATCAGACAAGAAGATAATGGCTGCCACTGACCAAGCATTCCTTGACATGCTCAATTCTCTCATTGAAATGATGACACAAGAACTGAACAAGATTGACAGAGTAAAATACAAGACACTGATCACAATACACCTTCATCAGAGGGACATATTCAATGACCTGGTAAGACATTGTACACTGTTACTACTTTTTTAAATTGCTCCGAAATCACTCCAAAATTTTTATTACATTTTCTGATACATATTGATGTACTTATGCTGTGTAGAAAGTTTGAGGTGATTCCGACTTCAATTTTTAAAGTTACGGCCATTTTAAGTATCATTCACAGTATCATTATTTTATTTGTTAGGAGCAGCTTGATATTAGTAACCTACATGTACATGTACCTCAATGGAAGCCACTCCTCTACACTATAGCATTCCTCCACACTACAGTAGAGGAGAGGAGGAAGTATGGACCACTGGGTTGGAATATACCCTATGAGTTCAACCAGGGAGACTTTAATGCCAGTACACACAATACATACAGAACCTACTGTACATGTACTTGATGACATGGACTTGAAGAAGGTATTTCAACTAGTATTGGTAGTATGATACATGTATATGTACTTGTATAGGGTCCGTCATGGAGTGCTGTACGGTACATGATTGGTGAGATACAGTATGGAGGAAGAGTCACTGATGATTATGACAAGCACTTACTGAACACTTATGCTAAAGTTAGTATCTACTATACTATAGTCATTAAACAGTACTGGTGGTAGAGTATTGTCATGACTTGCTGCGCTATAATGTAATCAAAATAATATATAGGATAATAGTTTTTGATGTTTTCATGCAATGAAGACTATAGTGTTTCATGGACTTATACATTAACTCTGTCCTCATTATTTTCCTTCTCTTGTTCATGTAGCTTTGGTTTGGTGAGCACATGTTCCAGCAAAAGTTTAGATTCTGTAATTGTAAAGTGTTTCCAATCCCAGTGTTCAAGACAGTCCAGGATTACATCAGTTACATTGATTCCCTTCCCATGGTCATCACTCCTGAAGTCTTTGGAATGCATCCTAATGCTGACATCACGTGAGTTTATGCTAGCAATACTTCATGACAACTTACTGTAGCTATTAATTAAAATTTTGGCATTTTGATAATCATTCATTTGTGAAAATAAGTCTTGCCATTTTAACCCATTATATATAATTTGTTTACTTTTAGTTATCAGAGCAATACAGCTAAGAGTTGTCGTGAAATAATTTATTTTCATGTTGCCCTACATGTACACATGCGTGAAAGCTTGTGCTTGCATGAAGCATCTACCATAACAGGGTCTTTGGCTCCATTTTGTCAATAGTTCCTATTACAAGCTTTTGTATTACGGTTAGTACATGATCTATAGCTTGTATATGATGTCTTTTCTTTTTATGTTTTCTCCAATTATAATTGATATATTTTTATTCAGGTACATGCAAGACTACAGAAAATAGGTGCCATTGCTCCAATGAATGTTTTTCTAAGACAAGAGATTGACCGAATGCAAAGGATCATTACAATAGTGAGGAACACTTTACAAGATCTGCAACTAGCAATAGATGGCACTATTGTTATGAGTAAAGTAAGAGTTGTGTTATCATCTACAATTATTATTTGAATTAATTTTGGACTCTTTGTAATACTCTTGACAATATGTATGATGCTAGAGTTCCTACAGCCTGGAGAAAAGTTAGTTACATTATGTTGTGTGTTGAGTGAAGAAAAACTGGTTTATATTTTGTGGTTTTAATTTTCTGTGAATGACAGTTTACAAAGCCTGTAATCATGAAATTATGCACCAAAAAGACAAGAATGAGAGAGGCATTTTGTTGCCAAATATACACCATCTTTCTAATTGTGGCAACTTGTTGCTTTCGAGATGAAAGTAGCCAGAAATTTCACTAGCATTAAGTGTGCCTATGTAGTGTATGGCCTTAAAAGATTGGGAAAAAGGAAAATATTATGTTATGTTTGACTAATATTATTTTAATGTTAGATATTGTGGGAATCGGCTACCATTGGGTTCTGGTTTACTGAGTTGCTGGAGAGAGACTCTCAGTTGAGGTCCTGCATGAGTATTTGGAGGACGTCCTGATTTGTTTTGGATGACTGGTTTCTTTAATCCTCAAGGATTCTTAACTGCTATGAGACAAGAGGTAGGACTATAACATGTACCGTATCTCTCTGTCATTTGTGCCTAAGACCCTGTACTTTTTGACCCAATTTGACTTTGAGCAACTTTAAAAATTTATTAAATCTTGATTTAATAACTTTAAAAGTGAAAATTGTCTTTTGACAAAATAGTAGCTTTAGCATAATTTGACGTACAATATGTGTGAGAAATTTTGTCACTTTTGGGAAAATTGTTGGCCCAGTTTGAGGTTAAATTTACCAGATTTCATGTGAGAAATGTTTAGCTCACTTTGATGTAAAAGCTACTCAGTTTTGAACATTGAAGAGAGTAAAACTGACATTGATCGAAAAATAAATTTTAAATTGTCACATTGTTTAGTTGGGGCAAGCTTGGGCAAGCTCCACTGTAGCAGGAGTCTTCTGTATGTATGTATGCGTACGTCTGCAGTCATGCCCATCTTCTGGTCACACCCCATGTGTGCACTACTATCTATTTATCGGTCAATGATCTAATGCGGTAGCTCGTTCTAGTGAAATATTGTAAAAACACATGTGCATGTATGAAGCAAGAAAAAATCTCAAGATCAACCTCAACGACTTAGCTTGAATGAAAAGGATGCTCTTCTTGCTCAGCTCAGATGGTTATGATTGCGTCCCAGACTCAAGATTTAACTAGAAAAGCAGCCTAGCTAGCAGCAGAGTGAGTCAGCGCAATATTTTTCCCGGGAAATATACCCATTATACTGTATAATGTCTTAAAGCATGCATGTAATATAGTGTACATGTACCTTTATCTGTTAGTGTACAGGTAAATGTACATATTAGTGTATTAATGTATTGATTTCATTTATTAGGAAGAGAAGTGGGAGGAGTTGTTGTATGCTAGACCACTCCCTGATGCTCATAAAGACAACATACATGTAAAGGTTGTTTGTTTGTCATAAAGACAACATACATGTAAAGGTTGTTTGTTTGTTAATTTACTTGTTTGTGTAGGGTTAATTGTCTTGTTAACTTGATAAACCTGGGCGAGCTAACAGTAAATATACTATCATTTTATTAATGTTAGGTTTTATTGATTATTATTAATATAACCACTAAATAATTAGCTATTATTATTGTTAATTTCAGGATGTTTAGTTGTTGTTCAAGTTTTATAATTTAGAGTTGGGAATGATGACTACATCATATCAGTAGTGGTGAGTGTGCATGTACATTTAAGTATTATAATACAATGTATGCATTCACAGGATAAATCCATTGAGTTTATAAACAGTTTAAATGATGAGTTACTTAAGAAGGAGGCAACCACTGACTCAAGGAGTGAGACCTTCTCTTCAATAATGAAAGTATGATATATATCAAGTTAATAATAGTCATGTGATGTCAGTGGGGTTGTAGCCAATTATATTGTGTACATATCGATGTCCTTATTCTTTGTAGAAAGTTTGAACTGATTTTGACTTATTTTTACGTTGTTTATAGCAGTCAACTAAATACCTAATACATGCATGTACATGTACATGTACTGCATTGTTATTAGTACATGCTATTATGTACATGTACTAGCTGTTATTACTCATTATAATTATGCTTCCTTACTGCAGTGATGGTATTGATCTGTTGGTCAATCAGCCTCCTTTAAGGAACAACTGCTTTCTTTACAGTACTTTAAAGAACTTCAAAGTACTTACAAGCACTGAAGTACCGGCCACTACCACCAAGCACTTTGTGAAGTACTTAAGAATAAGTACAAGTACAGCAAGTTAATGTAAAATACTCTGTAAAGTACTCCTCTCCTCTACTCATACAAGTACTCTGAACACTGTACTTAAGTATTAATGTACCTCACCCCATCCCTGGTTAATAATAGGGGGCCTCCCTCTCATTAAGGAGGGGGAAGGGGGTAATGGTGTCTCCCTCTTGTTTTGGTTAATTTGTTCTCTGTTGTAGGCTAAGATTGTTTGACAGTGGTGTTCTAGTAGTAGAGTCACTCAGCTTGAAAGAAGAAGTCATTATTGAAGAGACAGTAAAAATGGTTAGTTATAAAGTACTGTCTAGACATTAGTTATAAAGATGCTATATATAAATGCATGTATGTATTTATACTATCATTAGTTTGTAGGTACAGGATAATGGTAGTCTGACAGCACAGGAGCTATCTAATCATGCTGGTGTATCCATAATGTTGGCAACTGAACAGTATGGTCTGGTTTTATATATAGTTTAGTATAGTTGGTGTGTTTTGTGATGTTTCTTATGCCACTAATACATGTACATTGTATGTCCATATGCCACTAATACATGTACATTAGGCCTGGGCGATAGTAGTAATATCACTATCACGATATTTAGTAACTCTATTATCACGATAGTGAACATATCACGGTAGTTCAGCCATAGGGTTTACATGTGGAAATACAATGATTTATTTAAGGATGTAGTCATTGTACTTAGTCATTGTACTTATTTAATCCAAATTTTTAACAAGAAACACTGTCCCGCTATACAGAAAACACGTTCACATGGTGCTGATGTAGCAGGGACAGTGAAAAACCTTGAATTAAGCTGTGCTAGTAAGTCATACCACTCTATTTGTGGAAGTTGTCATTTATTACAGCTGTAAAGTGTCATTTATGCCATGCTCCATGCACACATAGCAACTATCATGATAGTTAGAATAACAGTATCACTATCATGATAGGCTGTACGCTATGACGATAGTGCAACTATCGATACTATCGCCCAGTCCTAATGTACATTGTATGTCCATATGCCACTAATACATGTACATTGTGTGTCCATATGCTACTAATACATGTACATTGTATGTCCATATGCACTAATACATGTACATTGTATGTCCATATGCCACTAACACATGTACATTGTATGTCCATATGCCACTAATACATGTACATTGTATGTCCATATGCCAATAATACATGCACATTGTATGTCCATATGCCACTAATACATGTACATTGTATGTCCATATGCACTAATACATGTACATTGTATGTCCATATGCCACTAATACATGCACATTGTATGTCCATATGCCACTAATACATGTACATTGCATGTCCATTATAGTCAATCAGCCTCCTTTAAGGAACAACTGCTTTTACTCAATGGAGGCTCATAGGCGGCTATAGGCCCAGGCAAGCCAGGGCTTTGCCCTGGTAGTTTTCAACCAAAACCACACCCAAAAGGTGTGTTTTGTTAATATTAGGAGTGAGATCATCACTAGAATTCATTTTTTATAGCCACAACTGTTTATACTTGCTATCAGCTCCACTTTACAGTTATTTTAGTGTGGTAACTGGCTTTTGTGAGCTATTATAATAACTTTTAATCATTTTATTAATTGACCACACCCCTAATTTATATGAATAATTAATGAGCCCTGGTTAATTTAAGATTCTGTAGCCGCCTATGTGGAGGCTGTCCAGTTATTACAAGAGAAGATGGATGGCTCTCCTACCAGAAGAGACATTGTCACTATGATGCAGTTAATTATGCATGCGCATGTACATGTAGCTAGAGGAGTCAATCATAGGTGTACAATGTACATACCGTATATGGAGCGCCAAAGTGGACAAAATTCCTGATCCATGATATACATATGGAGAGGTAATTATGGCGATACGCAAAGCGCATCGCCTCATTAATGCATTGATTTCATGATCAATTTTTGAATCGATTATCTACACGTCACTAATGGCAATGCATGTATTATGCATAATTAATGACCTATCATCAGGCCACGCCTATTGTGAGCGTGCCTTGTCTTGAGAAACAAGATGGCGTCGATGTTTTCAAAACAGTTGTACTTGAAGTTACTTACATTATGTAGTTTCTTAGCTGTGTGAGAACCTGAAACACTCATTTAGAGGTTTTTCATTCATTAAACTGAACCCGAGATAGTCAAATGGTTACTTGGTTAGCCCTGAAAGGCCGGAATTGTTAAACTGTAAGGAGTTGTTCCAAGTCAGAAGTGTGTATATTACTACTGTTCCTGCTCGTATTTACTATAAATATTATTTATAGGACTATAGTACCATACCAAGCAAAAGGAAAAGAACACAACCAAAAGAAGTGAAAAGGATTAAAGAATGCAAAGATGTCATTGATTCACTACAATTTGTGAGCTCTCTGTTAGTTATAATGATATCAATTATGTGTACATAGGACAGTGAAGCAACTGAATCAAGGTTATAGGATAGACTGGGAAAGCCCAATGGCAATGAGTGCCAATGAAATTGTTCTGCCCGCTATACTGTGTCTTATTACCGATGAGCAGCTTTTGCAGCAATACTGGTTTCAGTGTACATTGTTTGTGAATGCTTTATAATTTAATAAATTAGTAATTTTTTGAATTTTTTTTCATTTTTACTAAAACACGTTCATAAATAGATTATGTAATACCATTGGCTACTGTAATATTCCTGACTTAGCCCACCACACCCTATGTACACATAAAACAAGAGCATATACATGTACATGTATTAGAAAAAATATAGAAAAATCTTTTCTAAGTAATTTTGACTTCATACACCTTTTACTATAACACAGGATGTTTTGTCAATGCCTGTACATACCCCTTGACAACATTTTGTTTCTTCCTTTAGAACATAATCTTTTTGTGTACATATATGCTCTTCCTTTGCCACTCTCTTCCGCTCCTCTTAACATGCACTAAATGACCCATACCCACTCCTAATCTCTCACTGTGCCTCCTTCAATCTCCCTGAATATAGTCTATTCTAATACATTCTTCCCTATTATCCCTCTCTTTATGGCTTTACTGTCCTACACCTCTCTTATTTCTACATCTTTCTCATCTCTGCTCCTGTGTGTCTTTATCCTATGTATATTTCATGCTCTCTATCTTCCTTTCTACATCCACATGTATGCTGTCCTCCCCCATGACTCTCTCTCTTTCCCACTTTTAGTCTCTCTCTTTCACTAAAAGTACATGTATCTCTCGCTTTTAACTCCACCTCTGCCTTGTTTCAATTTATCTCTTTTGCTCTATATGATGTCTAATTCATTCTATCCTTGAATTTAATTCCTTCTCTTTCTCCCTTGATCTGTCTGTGTCTTTTAAACTTTCCCTCCACTGACCCTGTTTTGCATAATTTACTGTTAATCCATTTTTCTCTATTATGTATGCACCAGTGACGTAGTTGATTACCAGGCCTACATTATGTCACAGAAGTAGTTGTATCAACCATTACACACAAAATAGCATTACAGTTACTATTGTTGTTTAATCTGACTCACCATTACAATTCACTGCTATGTATCTCTCTATCTTTTTAGTGTTTCTGTCTCTTTCAAGCTTAGGATTTACACTACTGACATCAAGCCTTTCATTCAAATAAGGTCAATATTATAATTTCCCCATTTTATGTTTCTCTGTATGATTATAGGTGAAGTTCAAGGCAGACAAGAACACATGTGTATAATAACATTTATGATTGCTGTGCTTTACTAATTATGACTAAAATTATTACTAAAAATACCTTTACTAATGCAGCACATGACAATCAGTTCAGATACAGCATGATGCCAGACCGTTTGCAATGCTTGAAAAGTCAAAGGCAAGGTCCTTTCATTTGATTCAGGGATGAGAAAGTTACCTATTGGCTAAATGTAGAGGTTTCATAATGTTAATAAATTTTAAAAGTAAGTTGGCAGTCTCATCTTGATAGTTGTCTGATATCAGTAGGTAGGCATGCACAAATACTTGCTATAAAAAATTAAAGTACTAAATTTGGCTAAACAACTATAGAGATAATCAGCTAAACAACATGCATGCTTAATTAGGGGGTGGGGCTGAAGGTTTTTAGCTTAAAACTCAAAGATTTTACATGACAGGTCCAAAAAACTGCTATTATGTGCTTGATACAATTATTAACTAGTGCTACAGCAAGGTTTTAGGGTTGTTGCAACCAAACTTTATATTTTGACTATTTTGACTAAAAAGTTGGTCTCAGGCAAAGTGTAATCATTTATTGGTTTACAGGGCTTGAAAAGCAAATCAGCTACTTCTGAGACAAATTCGTCTTGACCATTGCATTTAACTTCAAACTTTGCTGTAGCACTAAATTATTATTGTGTTAAGCACACCATTGCAGTTTTAGGGACCTGTGACATAAAACCTTGGAGTTTTCAGCTAAAAACCTTCAGCCCTACCCCCTTATTAAGCATGCAGAAAGTACGTTTAGGTGATTATCTCTACAGTTGCTCATTCAAATTTAATACTTATATTTTTCAAATAAAGTAATTGTGCATACCTACCTGCTGATACTAAACAACCATCAGAATTGCACTACTTACATGCTCAAAAAATTATTTGTCGTTATGCAACTTCTGTATTGCTAATTCTCATCCCTGGATCAAGTGAAAGGACCTTGCCTCACGAGCTGCTTTATATTGCATGCCTGCGCTTCTTAGTAGTAGCATATTATTATATTAAATATATATATTTTTGCAAATAAAATTACAAAAAATTACATTAAAATTGCATGGTCATGTATGTAGAGTCCTGTGCTCTTGATACTTAAATTAGACTATAATCAAACAGAGAAACATAAAATGGAGAAATATATTATAATTGACCTTACTTGAATGAAATACTTGATGTCAGTAAGCATAAATCCTAAGCTTGAAAGAGACAGAGACACTAATAAGATAAAGAAAAAGAAAGAGCAAAGAGAAGGAGGTGCATAGCAGTGAATCGTAATGGTCAATCAAATTAAACAGCAATGGTAACTGTAATGCTATTCAGTGTGTCATGGCAATTATTTCATTTATATACATGTAGCTATACTAGTCTCGCTGGCCAGACCCTTGCCTGGCCAGCGAGACTATAGCTAAACTTCAATGAATCAGTGACATACATGTGGGCCTGTGTGTGCATGGCATACATTTTCAATTTGTATGTGTCAATTGTCAAAAATTACTACATAATGCTACTGGTATAATCAACTACATCACTGGTGCATACACAATAGAGAAGAGAGGAACATCAATGAGGAGCAATGGAGTGGAGAGAAAGTTTAAAAGACATAGACAGAGACTTGGTATATGGTGTAAAGGGAGAAAAGAAAAAAATAATAGAAATATAGAAAAATAGTAGAAGAGAGAGACCAGAAGTGGGAAAGAGCAAGAACGAGAGTGTTTGTGATGAGGAGACTAATATATGTACATGTATGTAGAGAGGAAGGTAGAGAGGAGTAAACATACGGAAGCAAAGATGAAGATGATGTAGAGGAAAGGGACATGTAGGAATGATAGGGAAGAAGAGGAGAGAGTGAATGAGAATAGACTATAATTCAGGGAGATTGAAGAAGGAGGCACAGTGAGTGAGGAAGAGAGAAATCATACACTAGGAGAGGGTATGGGTGCAGGTATCATTTGTAATGCATCTTAAAAACGGGGAAAGAGAGAGTCAAAGGTACAATGTACAAGTATACATAGACATTATGCACTAGGGGAAAGAAATTAAATGTTGCCAAGTGGCATGTACAGAATTTCCCACAGGTTTTGGGATAGTGCTCATTCTTTTGATGGTGGGTAAAATCCTGTACTATAGTAAAAGGTGTATTACATGAGGATGTACATGTTTGTCAAAAATCGCTAGAAGAAAATTTTCCTTTTTAAAATTTTTTCTGATACATATAGCTACATGTTCTTATGTTGCATTGAAAGTTTAAGCTGATTACAATCAAGCTTAAATTTTTACTAGCTGAATTTACAAAGTTGCTCAAAATAATATATTGTACTGTATTTTGTCAAATTTCATCAAAAACTACTAGGAGAGAATTCACCACTTTTGCTTTGTAAATATTACGCATACACTTTGTTGGCATTCTAGTTCATAATAATTATTCATAATTACAATGAAAAGTATGATAATGAGTATGAAACACATTCAATTTTAATAGATAATAACATTATAAACCTTTAGGTTCAATGCTAAATATGAATCTCTGTGTTCATTTAACAATACCTACAACAATTGAAAAAAGAGTACTTCAAGCAATAGCAGCATAAACAAAATTGCGAACAGCTACATATAATGGCACTCCATAATCTTCACAGTCTTGCAAAGGGTCCACACTTTGCTTCAATAAAGCTAGCTGTTCTTCACTAAGAGGGCAATTCTCTGGTGGAACAGTAATGTCTTCATTATCTAAAACAGCAGGACCATCCCAGTCTACACCATAATGTGTGTCCTGCGTTCAAAATAATAACTAATAATAATTATGCTGAAATAAATTGCTAACTTACAAATGGAAAAAAATCATTTTCAGTATCATCATGCAACATTGCCATTCCACTAATCCATAATTGTAAGGGGCACATATTGTTCTCTGTCCTTAAACGGTGCTGACTGTATGTATCACGGAATACCTATATATAACAATAAGTAGACAGAAAACTCATTATTAATATTAATACTTTTAGATGGTGAGCAATTCTTGGCTTTCATGTGACTGAAGGTCTTGCACCTGACATTATGCATGATATATTGGAAGGTGCTTTACAATATGAGACTAAAGAGTTGCTGATACACGTAACACAAGAAAGATGACTTATTCCACTCTCATTTTTGAATCAACAAATTGAAAGTTTTCCTTAAGGATATTGTGATAGTTCAAATAAACCTTCAATCATTACTCTTACTTCTCATGATCATAGTCTAAAGCAATCAGGTATGTTAATTATGATGCATGATTCAGAGTTATACCTCATTCTATTATAGCAACACAAATGTGGTGCTTGGCCAGATTGTTGCCTTTATTAGTTGGAGAGTTCATACCTGTAGGTGAACCTCACTAGGAAAACTTCTTGCTTTTGCTAACAATTGTTGAATATGTGTTTGGACCAGTCACATCAGAGGATGTTGTTCCTTATTTAAAAGACTTAATAAGAGAACATGAAAATTTCTGTCAGCTTTACCCTAATGCTTCTATAATTCCTAAAATTCATTATATAATACACCTTCCAGAATGGTTACTGAAGTAAGATAAAATATGATACATTAATAACTCAATTTTTTACTGCGTCTTATACATGTATTCATGGCTAATTGCAAATGGTGTTATACATGTAGATAGAATTATATGCATAGTTATTGTACATTGTAAGTACAGCTATAATTTTAAAATTTTATTTTAGTTTTGGACCAGCAAGTCGGTATTGGTGCATGCGTTTTGAAGCCAAGCACAGTTACTTCTAATCACTTGCTCACAGAGTAAAATGCTTTAAAAATATTGAAAAAACTTTAGCAGAACATCATCAAAATTTAATGTGCTACTACTCGTTTTGTGACTATTATGTTTTCAGAGAATGGACATTTGGGAGAACTAAGTAGTAAGTGCTGATTGTGTATTGTACTTGCATGTTTGTATAATCAAGAATGTACTGTTTTCTACAAAAAGAATAAATATTCGTCTAAAACTTCAGCAAAATTTCTTTCACCATGCAGCTATTATGTGCATTTGCAAAAATTATTTTATTTTTGGCATTATGTAGGCAAACAGTTATGGTTGAGAATTGCACACATAGTGATATACTGTTAAGAAGAGGGATTAGTGCACAAGAGGAAATTAACATGTAAGTGTATTATTGTGATTACACTTTTTTATGTACATATGCATATGTAATTATGTATTATGTATAGTGTAAGCTGGGCTCAGACCGGAAGCGTTTTTTATAAACCAGGTGCTATTGTGGTAACAAGAAATAATCTCCTGCCAGTGTTTGGAGTCATTGTTGACATTAATGTGTTCCAAGAGGATATCTATTACTTTGTTCTCCAAGAATACATTACCCACTGTTTCGTGCCACATTTTCATTCTTTTGAGGTTTCAATTACTTCTCCACCTGTATATCACACCTATGAAGTTCATGAATTAGCTGATTATCATCCTTTGTGTATTTATAGTATTAACAATAAACAATTAATTCCACTAAAATATTAAATTACAGAAGAATTTTGATAATTTTGGTGTTAACCTGTATTGTTGTGCATACACACCGGATATTGTGTGCATGACATACTTTTTTGTGGAGTGTGAAAACACACCTGTAGTGTGATATGAATTTGGTGTGTATAATACACTGTATTTTTTTCAGTGAAGGACCTTGGACGAGAGAATGTTTATTATAAAGGCCCCCATACGTTAGCCCAGATGTTGCCAGCAACATGTTGCCTAGTGTATGGAGACCTTAATCAGCAGTCAGAGCAGAAGTGTTATCGCTATGGCCGTGATGGTCACCGTCCCGTTGAGTGTCGATTTAGGGGAGCCATTTGTCGAAAGTGCAGGAAGAAAGGGCATCTTCAGGCTGTTTGCAGAAGCCGAGAGAGTAGCAACGCTGCCCCACTTGAGCACAAAAGGAAGACCACTCAGAAGGCTCCAGTAAGGAAGGTAGATGAGCCAGAAAACGAGAGCTCTGCTAATCATTGTGATGAGGATGTTCCTGGATGTTTTAAAGTGAAAGTGAACTCTGTTAAGGGTACACTACCACCAATCAAGGTTTCTGTAAAATTATACGGCAAGCTGATAGAGATGGAAGTGGATACTGGTGCAGCTGTGTCTATTTTGACAGTAACAACCCTTGTTCTTTTTATTTTATGTGTACCTGTAACAAATGTTTGTCTTGTTCTTCTAGTAACTACACTTATTTTTAACTATTCTTCTACTAATGCTACTATTGTCACATTTCTTATATTGTTTTATTTGTATTCTTTTGGCTTGTGGCTCCTCGGCTACTTGTCCTTCAGGTACTCTTTCCTAACCCCTATTTTTTGTCCTTCCCATTTCTTACCTGTAAAGTGTTTAATAATAATAATAATAATAATAATAATAATAATAATAATAATAATAATAATAATAATATAATTTCGGAAGGTACCTATCGTAAATGGTTGCGGAAAGATACACCCCTCTGTCCTGCTGAGATATAGCTGCAAACATATACATCTGAGCCACTGACTACACTAGGAAGATGCATGCCATGTCACCCTTCAGTATGGGAATCAGAGAGCTCAGGGAACTGTGTATGTAGTATCAGGAGAGGGACCATCCTTACTGGGATGAGATGTTCTCCAGAAGATTAAGGCTACATTTACACAGCAATGCAAAACACATCTTTTTTAAAGTATCCACTTTGAACACCGTTTTCGTTTCCATAGAGTTCTATCAAGATTTTATCACGTTTTCATTCGTTCCTGTGTAAACAGAAGCATAAAACAGGCACAAAACTATACCGTCGGATTGCATCGTTTTCGTTGCTGTGTAAACGTGGCCTAAATTAAACTGGCCTAAAATTATGAGGCAAGTTCATAATAATGATAATATTGCTGGAGGAGAGCCTCAGCAGTTGGGAACATTACTAAAAAGGTATGAGGCAGTATTACAAGACAAATTGGGCACCGCTTTCAAGGGTACCCAAGAAGGAAGGAAATATGAGAATTTGTGGAGATTATAAAGTCACCGTCAATCCGGCCTTAGCAGTAGACATTCATCCCATTCCTAAACCACAAGAACTCAGTGTTCGCCTCCTTTGCTGGTGGGGCCCGAGAAATTCACTAAACTAGATCTGTCCCAGGCCTACCAGCAGCTGCTGCTAGACTGAGAAGTCCAAGGAGTTGATGACAATCAACACTCACAAGGGGCTCTTCAGATACACCCGACTTCCTTTTGGAGTTGCCTCAGCACCAGCTATATTCCAGAGAACCATGGATAGCATATTGCAAGGTATTCCTAGAGTGTGCTGCTATATTGATGATATTTTAATATCAGGAGAGACTGATGAAGAGCACTTACAAAACTTAGAAGCTGTACTAGGAAGACTACAAGAACATGGTGTTACTGTTAAGCAGAGCAAGTGCAAGTTTCTTTGTAAGTCAGTAGAATACTTGGGTCATGTTATTGACAAAAGGGGGTTGCATGCTGCCAATGAGAAGGTCAAGGCCATAGTGGATGCACCCCTTCCCAAAAATGTTGAGGAGCTCAGGTCGTTTCT